GGCATCCACATCGTGCTGTATCGTATTGTTCTCCTGGACGCTTAGAGCTGTCGCGCCGACACGTACCGGCTCGTCTACTGAACAAAAATAACAGATCGTACTAGCGAATCGTCCATTGTATTAGCTCCCGGCCTAGTGTAGTCATCCGGCGGGTCGGATTCTGTGGGGGTGGGATGTCCTTGATTTAGTCGGCTGGAGGCCCGATTTTTTAAGCTCGGTGTAACACGTGCTTGGCTGTAGAGCTGATTTGCCTCATGAATGTGCTGCTGCCGAAGTGTAGCACGTTGTCTGACATGATACTGTTCTACATGATGAGATGAGGAGGCTGCATGCGGTGCTAGCTGCTTTGGCTGTTCTGGTTCCTGGCTTTAGCGACTCTGATCGCGGACGGACACTCTTTTCTGCTGCGCGACGTATCGGGAGAGATAGAATGTAACTGGGGCTCGCTCTGAGATTGATAGTCGTTGTAGAAGGGCCCGCACTGTATATGTTGTGTGCGGTGGGTGTTGATTCATTCAATGGCAGATGACGATGGCGTGACCTGTTTGTTGTGTCCTTCCTCCCCAACCTGATCCTTCGGTATATTAAGCGTATCAATTGCACTCCAATTGGAGTCTTCACCAATTCTGCTTGTATAGCTGGTCGATCGTCGTTTCGATTTGATTTGATTACTTACGTCTGCTGGCGCCCTAGAGTAGGCTTTAGATGTGCTAACTAGTTTCATCAATATTATCATTCATCCCTACCATATCGGTTTTTTTTTTCATTGCTTCGTCAGCCATTTTACTACCATCTGGTCTCGTCGAGCAGGGACGGACGAAAGGTCCATTCTCTCATGGAAAAACTGGCAACAGGAAGTTCCTTCTCACTGCGCGCAGGAGACAAAACAAAGTCCGGTTAGATTCAGCCTCCTACAAAAGGTGGCTGGCAGCGCAGCGCGTATGTTCGACTACGAAAATATTCGTGAGCGAACAGCTCTTTCCAACGTAGGCCTTCAATCACATGCCTACAACGACCCGTTTGCTTATGCGAGCCGAATCTCTTGGTTTAACTCTATTGCTCGAGTATCATGACTAGGCTGGCTAAGAAAAGAGCTACCTGATATGCAATGGAATATATCATTAAACAGAGTGTCACGCTCTGTAGCAAATCTTTAGGCCCTATCCCGCCACAAAGCCTGGTCCAGCCGCCTAGCAGACTTGGACGCGCTCCGGAATGCAAGCACATAACATAGTAATTCGCGGACACGCGCTAATATGTAATATATAGCAGGTTCCATGTATTATCGTATATATGCGACTACCCTAGCCTCAACATAGATCGGGCAGATCGCGATTCTGCATAGCCCTTTCGTCTCCCTCCACAGCCGCATCATAGCACGCCGCCATGCTACTCACACAAATGACTATACAACATGTGCAATTTATCGATATTTTGGAGGCCATTGGGGAACTAGTCGATTGGATCAGCCTACAAGAAACCTGGATGGGGGAACTGCAGCCTCCATTGTATATTGAGCTCGAATGCAAGCGCCTAGGCAGAAACGAACAGCTGATGGTATGCCCCGGCAAAGACCTCTGGCGAATTCATATCACCGACACACATCAACTTCATGACGACACCTTCCATACCAAAGGACGCCGGCCAAAGACTTTGCGAACTATCCTGGAGTCAAAGGACGTGCTCAAGGTGTTTTTTGACGTGCGTAATGACTCTGACGCGCTCTATTCCCACTACGGCATTAAACTGGATGGCGTCAGGGATGTCCAGTTTAATAGCTGAGTTGCTTGTACACATCCAAAATTAGTCTTTGCCCCTGCTTAGTGGCGTTAGGTTAGGCAACCAGACTGCCTTCTAATGTTTATCCTTGGGCGCACCGCCGGATAATTCACCTGCCATCTCCTCACAATTAGTCACTTCAGATGGATCGCCTCTCCTCCGCCTGTCACTCAGGCCGCAAGCGAGAAGTGAGTCCTGTAGCTGGCCGAATCTTGTGCTTCAGCAAGAGAACCAGGAGCGAGATGCAGTCCCCGCGGGCAGTCGCCTGACAATGTCCGGCAACAGACCGACTACCCAGTTCCGTGTTTGCTCCTGTGACATAGTCAAGCCACAGCCAACTCTCGATACCGTCTGCGTTTGGTGCAGCTCCACGAGCTATTTGCTCAACAACAGTTTGGGCAGGAGATTAGACTACCTTACCGTGTTGAGCAAGGTCAGTGGAACAGCACTAGCACTCTGCTGTCTGCAGCTCATGGCGGTCGAGTCTGAGACGAAGGGACAGAAACGTTGGCTCACTGCTTAGGTTGAAATGACTGGCACAAAACTCAGAACATTATCTTGTCGTCGCCCAAATGGAAACACGTGGTTCATATCAGAGTTTCACGGAGTTTAAAGCATTGCACTATGGGCTTTAGGGCACTGAAGGCTGGTAGTTTCTTTGCCTAGCTTACAAGGGGTTTAGGCCAATGTATATTGATGAAGCTAGTTAGCACGTCTAAACGGCTACTCTAGGGCGCCAACAGACATAATAGTCAAATCAAATCAAATGGCCGCACCCCCTACCTGATCACCCACAGAACGGAAGGAAGCTGATCTCGTTGTAAGCTTCAAAAAACCTAATAAACTCTAGAGCCCTCGAGCTCATTGTGCAATGTCTCAATCACCCGTAAGATGTATGCCAACACGATCTCCCTAAGTCAGCAGACTCGCGCTACGAGGCAAATGTTGTCGGCATCGATACCTGCCAGCGGAGTTACAATGACGTGGACGTAGCCCGCTCGGGGGCATGCCACGTCCACAACTATTGTCGTCTGGTTTTCAGAGACGGACCAGCAGGAGCCCGAATCCATGGTTTTCGTGTTTAGAATTGCCTCGCTCCATGGTTAACACTGCTGACGCAGTCCGCCGTCCAGAAATCAGGCGATAGAGATGGCGCAGAAGCGGAGATAGAGAAATCTCTTCTGAAGAAATCAGAGGCCGTAAACCGGCTTGCATTCAAGCCAGGCGAATGCCCTTCGCGATTGGCCACCGATTTTTAGAAGGAAAAACCGTTGAATACCCATGGTTCGGAACAGACCATGAGGTTCGTGTAGACAAATAATCAAGGCCAGGTCCAAAAACTATGATGGACTGCTCCGAAGGTCATTCCGAAAGTCACTCCGAAGGACGCTCATTCTTTGTGCTGTAGGGTCACGATGAGTCCTGGCGACAAAAAGCGCAGCCCATGGCTTGTAGATTCAGCTCCACTGACAATTCACTTACAGCTCAGAAGCGAGAAAACCCCGTACAGGGGAGAGTTGCTGTCTGAGACACAACTGTAGCCAGAGGACTTCGGTGTAGCTTCCTGGTGTACGACTGGAAGCGATGTCGGTAACGCCGAAAGAGGGGAAGGATCGTTAGTAAGCTGAGCAGGGAGCGCATTTGAGCAGGCGATCCTGGCGGGTAAAATCGGGCCCACACGGCGTATTGGTTTAAGTTCGCGGTGCGGATTACCCTCCATTGGATGCGCGCCACCTGACAGACCGTTTTTGTTGGAGTTGGCTGGAGTACGCCCTACGCCTTCTGCGAGGCAACTGTTGCATCAGGCAACTCGCTCCGAGGTGTGATCTGGATGGCATGCTATCGTCCGGACAACATGGCGCATTCCTGGGGCGTTCATTTCCTCGAGTTCGAGGACGGCTAGATCTCTCCTTCTCGCCTGATGTCACAGCCTAACAATGAGCCATCCATGCTTCAGTGTCGCTCGGGTTCTTTCGAATCTCTCTCTGTGAGTTGAGGTCAGCCTTGCGGTATTTGAAACAATGGAGAGAATGAGTGTAAACTCTTTGTATCTAGTTGCAAGGGGTTGGTGGGTTATTGCAAAGGTTTTAGCAGGTTCCTGGGAGATTGAACGGGCTACCGCGAGCGTTCAGCGGTCTACTGCGAGGACTTAGCGGGCTACTGCGAGGGTCCAGCGGCCATCGCATGTACCACATTGGGCGTGTAGTCATCCCACTACCGCAAACCAGCGTTGTCGCCATCTACTACGAATCAGCCTTTTACTCGTAGAGCGTCTGAAAACTTGTCGCGGATGCTGTCTAGAAGAGGCCTCATGTGTTTTGTATCGTGATTCGTCGGAAGATATTCTCGGTCGTCCATGTCGACGTCGACCTGCATGATATGGATGCCAATGTACGAATGAACAGGTGGAAGTCACAGGCACAACAAAGACTCGTGTGGCTCCGCCAGCATCAGCACCTCTATCCTCACTGGACCCGATTTCACGCCCGCAGGTCAAGCGCCCATTTCCTTACCTAACACGAGCTGCTGCTAACAGGGCAGTCTTGGAATTTACAACTACAACGGACGACAGCGCCGATATCACGCTGGCCTGAATTCGCAGAGTGAGGTAAGAGAGAACAGCAGTGACGCCCAGGCTTGCATGCCTTGTTGCTCGGTTGTGCCAGCAGGCGCAAAAGGATATTTTAACCGACCCCGAGCTTTGATTTGACTATTACGTCCGTTGGCGCCCTAGTGTAGGCTTTTGGACGTGCTATCGAGCCTTCTACGGATTAATGTACAACCAGGCGCGTCGCGCCCATGTTCTCGCCCATGTTCTCACTAGTTGCCCCTGGAATACTTTTCCTGTCATCATCCTCCAACTGTAGCAGTTTCGCGCCCAATGGCATATGTCTGTCTGAATCGATACCCGTCAGCGGGATCACGATGATGCTGGCGTTATGCGCTCGCGGGTGCAACCGCGGGCGCGTCGCGCCTGCAACTTTTGTCTCCTGGTCTTTGTACGGGGACCAGCGGGAGCCCTGCTGTCAGTGGCGTATATCGCCGAAAACAAAGAAAATGGATGGTGGTTTAACGAGTAGCGTGAACTACTCGGGCTGGGTACTGTACAGAGCGCGCCAGGCTTGTACACCCTACTTGGCGCTACATGCGCTTGTTGATCTTCGAATAATAGAAGTCGGCAATGCGCACGTACACTTTGTAGGATCTGCCGAGGAATTTCCCTATTGTCGTCTCTGGGTCGGGGTCCAGCCGAACCCGGAGATGACGAGGGACCTTCCTGCAGTAGAAAAGGTGGGTAGGCGACTTCTGGCGCCCGCAAGGGCACTCCAATGTCGTCTGTCCTGGGTGGAATCTCTCGTGGTATTCCGCAAAGTCGCCGTGTTGTGTTGTGATCGCGCAGTCAGAAGATCGAGCATGCGGCGGGGGAGGCTGAGTTCCGGAAGTTTCTTCAGCTCGGCACTAAGCCCAAGCTTCAGGTACTCCGTTCTCTCAACCGATGCCCACCAGGCTCGGTGATCGACTGCTATCTGCTTCTTCATCTGTCTTTTTCTATACGAGACAGATGGCAGGTGTTCATCTGTGGGGGGCGTAGCGCCATGCTTCGCAAGTTGGTCGGCCAGCTCGTTGCCGAAAATGCCAGTGTGGCCAGGTGACCATTTGACTGAGATCAGATACGGGTGCCTGTCACCAATTTTCTGGAATTCTCGGAAGCATGCTTGCGAAGAATCTGCCGCCGTCGCTCCGATGCAGTCAATCACGGACGTGTTGTCCATGCAGACTGTAATCGGCTCGAGGCGGCTGTTCCGTTGCATGGCTGCTTTCAATCCTGCAAGAGCGCCGTGAATCTCGGCATCAAATACTTCTCGTCGTCCCAGCTGTCCGTAATCCCAATCCAGAAGTCGTCCATGGCGGAAAACGGCGAAGCCATATCCCGCCGTGTCCTTGTCTGTTTTGGAGCCGTCGCTGAAGACTACATAGCCCGCTGGTCGACCGGCAAGCCACTGCTCGAAATATGGTACAGCCTTCTCTTTGGTGAGCCTCTCACCGGGCCCTTCTACTTGTACGTTGTCAGAAAACCTCTGTGGGATGAGTCTGGGTCGCTCGATCTGGTGGTGCGGGACGAGGTTCGTAGGAGCCTCGAATGCCGCAAAGCCATTCGTTCCGCGATGAGCGGTTTCTCATTCAGCTCAATTTCTCTCTGCGACTGCCGCAGCCGTTTGCTGATTGGGTGTGCTTTGTCTAGTGTGGCATAGCGAACTGCGATGCGTTCCTGGATACGTCGAAGCAGGACGTTTGCGGGCGGGATACCTGCTTCTTTCCAGAGAAATTCCAGAGGTGTCGTCTTCCACATTGGTAGAACCATCTTACACGCGAGATTCAGTACGCGTTGTATCTTGCCGAGGTTCGTCTTCGAAATTTGGTTCCTTATGAAACGTGAACTACCTACATCCAATCCGGGCAGCCAGGCGTCTAACCCATGGAATAGGGTCGGCATAGCCACAGCCCATGCGGCTCGACGGGCCGCTGTCGCCGCCATGCCTCGCACGGTATTGTTCATGCCTCGGAGGTGATTAACCACCCTGCGAGCTTTCTTCGTCCACTCATCGATATGGTGGTTGAAGGTGAGTTTTTTGTCTAGCCAGATGCCGAGCCACCGCATAGATGGCGTTGCCTGTATCTCTTTGTCGCCGTGGTAGATGACGGGGGATTGGTCGTGACCTGCCTTGCGTCTAGAAAAATGCATGACTTCTGTCTTTTCTGGGTCAAAGTGGATTGCCTCGCCTCTTCCCCAGGATTCCATGGCTGCGATGGCCTCGTTTGCTTGCCTCGTCGTGTCCTCCAGCGAGTCTCCGATAAAGAGCATCGCTGTGTCGTCCGCGTAACCGTATCTCTGGGCTGCGCCCGAGAGGAAGTAGATTGCCGCCGTGATCAAGATATAGAGTATCGGGGAGATGGACGAGCCTTGTGGCAGGCCGCATCGTAGTCGCGCGCTTGGTGTAGTCGCGTCTTGGAAACGGACGCTGGCTAGTCTGTCTAGCAGAAAGCTGGCTATCCATCTGATCAAGAAGTCAGGCCATCCTTGTTGCCGCAAGCAAAGGATCATGCGATTGCGAAGGATGGCGTCGAAAGCACCCATAACGTCTTCCGTGACTAGAGTTGCCACCTGGCCGGCCGCGAGTGCTTTCTCGATGTCGTAGATCAGAGAAACCACAATGTCTACGGCGGGCCGCTTTGGGAGCGCACCAGCCTGGTTCGGATGAAGGATGCCATATTTGATGGCGGCATATGCCATTCTTCTTGCGATCACTCGTTCTAACCTTTTGCTCAGACAGGACAGGAGTGATATAGGGCGCCACGTGGATACATCGCTAAGGTTTCGCTTGTTGAGCTTTGGGATCATGACAATCTCGGCAGTCTTGAAGACGCTGGGATGGTGACCGAGCCGTAGACAGGCGTTGTACAGCTTCGTGACGGGTCGGGCGATATGTGGCCAGGCTGCCTGTAGCATCCTGGTCGTAATTCCGTCCGAGCCGGGCGTTGTGTTTCCGGTGTGTAAGACAGCCTTCTCGACCTCGTTGGTCGAGATGGTTCTCGCGAATGGAATCTCCTTGGGGGGGCGGACAGCTGGTTGCCAGCCGTCGGCAATGTCGTCTGACGAGTCCCGGCGTTCCAGTTTCTCTTTCCGTGGCGCCATGGCCTTCTCTGCGTCGGTAGAGTAAGTCATATTACCCACCTGGATCGGCGGGGGCTGGAGTCGTTGTCTAGGTTTCATCCATCTGGTGAGTTTGTACACGCCTTCCGCGCTAGTAACTTCGTTGATTGTATTTCGCCAGAATTTCTGCCTTGTGCGTCTTAGGACGCGGCAGAATTTGACCCTGGACCGTTGCACTTCCTCTCCTCTTTGGTTCTCGTAGATGCGTCGTGTAATACGGAGGTCGTCATGTGCGTCTTTGCACTCCTGGTTCCACCAAGGACAGCCTCGTGCGCGGCGATCGCGGCTTACCCTATCACATGCCTTGGCAGAGTTCTGGAGGATCTTTTGGAGTTGTCTGGCCATGCCTTCAATCTGGGCTGGCGAATCCACATCAGTAGGTAGTGACTCTACCGCCTTGCCTACGTGGTCTCCAAAAGCCTTGATCTCATCTGGCGTGGCGACTCTAACATTTCCCCGTGTGACTTGGGCTGGTTCCCGATCCGGAATCTCGATACCGATGGTGTAGTGGAGGGATCCTGTCATGAGGTGCACTTCCACCGTGGCAGACGCTTCTGGTATGTTTGAGAAGCAGGTCAATTGTGCTGCTTCTTGTGTATAACGTTTCGCCATGGTTGTTGCCTCGTCGGGCTCATTCAGTAGATCGAGGTCGTGTCTTTCTGTCCATGCATGGATGCGGTTTCCATCTTGTGAGGCTGGTCTGTCTGCCTGCCAGGAAGTGTGGAGAGCGTTCATGTCGCCGGCGACAATACAGTTCTCTGGTGGAGTCCAGTCTTCGAGAACTTGCAGTGTACTGTCCACTTCTGGTCTGTTGTAGAGGTTGAGGATAGTGATCCCGCTTACCCTGACCCACAGAAGGTCTCGATGTTTTGCTGGCGTGATCTGTTCAGCTTGGATCTTGCGATCTATTTTGACGTATGTCATCACCCGTGGGCGTGTGTCGTTGTTGTGCCAAAAGTCCACCGGGCTGAAGCAAAGAAAGCCTGGATGGTACTGGGTTCGGCAGAGCTTTTTCTGTTTGTTGTAGGACGTGTTTGGTTCTTGAAGGATCACTACGTTGTAGCCCTCCAGAAACGCGAGCTGGAGGGCGGCGCTATGTGCTTCTTTTCCCTTGTCCACGTTTGCCTGAAAAAATTTGATCGTCACTGGTTGAGCATTGTGTCGTCTTTGGTTACTCATCTGTAGACCGGGTTCTTGTTCGTCGTTTCGGTGGCGATTCTTCTCGTCGTCGAGCTTCCCGTGGCGGGCTGCTCGGGGGAGAGTGACGTGGTAATGTTCGAACGAGGATCTCTTGTTCTGTCGGAGCATCACTAGAAGGGTTTGTGGTCTCGGAAGGGATGATTTACAGAGCCATCTCTGCGCTGATGTACTTCTTCTTCACGTACGTGGGCCTCGAGGAAAGCTGTACCCTGGGCGCTTTTATCTCTGAGACTCCCATTCTATGTATGGGTGTGGTGCGCAAAATGTTTCTTCGGTAGGCAGCTGGCGGCTCCTGTTGGCGGTTCTGTTGTGTAGGGGCAGCCTCATCGTCGTCTCCGCTATTGTCTTCGTCGTTCTCATTCTCGCTGTTGTCGCTCTCGTCCTCTGGTCCCTCCTCCGTTGCTTCATGTTCAGCAGTGTTTTCGGCATCGTTTCCTCCTCCTTCCAGCTGTTCTTGACTATCCGGTACCTCTACGGCCTTTCCTGATTCGGCATTTTCTTCCAGAATCCCTTCATTGCTCTGTAGTTGTTCTTGTTCTGTGTCTCCCATGTCTTCATCTTCTCCAAGGGCAGGGAGGCAGTCCTCCTCTGGTGTCGTGGTGGCGTTCCCCTCGGCTGTGTCCGCCATCTCTGCGTCGACTTCGTTCGTGGTCGTGTTTGTCGTGGCCTCGTTGGGCGCTAGTGGGTTGTCTAGTGACTGGGCCATCATTTCCATGTTTTGTCGTCTGTAGTCGTCTGCTCCAAGTTTCCTAGCGTGGGTTCTCTGCGACTTTGAGAGTTTGTGGAAGGTGTCCCCAACTTTCTTGGGTCGTGCGTAGCATTGTCCGAAATCTGCGTGGTGGGGGCCCTCGCAGTTGGTGCATCTTGGTGTTGCTTGGCAGTTTTCAGTGTCGTGCTCGGTGTGACTGACGCCGCAGGTTCTGCATGTTTTCGTTGCCGTGCATGGCACATTTGGATGGAATTGCCAGCAGTTCTGGCATTGTACGAGTCGTTGAGGCTTTGTCATGAGGAACGAAAACGCTCCTAGGCCGAGGAGTCTTAAGGTGCCCCGTACGGGCTTTTCGAACGATATCACCAGAGGTGTCTTCGTTGGGTCACTGCTGGGTTTGACTGAGCGGCGCCACCACACAGGAGTTTGGCCTGTCTGGGCTACGATTTCTTCGCTGATAGTTGCGTTGAAGTCAAGTATGGTCTCATCATATGAGCGCAATTCATTTGGGAAATCTTGGATCAGGTATGTGAACCATGTTACTTGCTTCTCTGCTATGGTAAGGTCCACATTTGGTCCCCATTGCTCTTGTGATTCCAGTATCTTCTTTTGGATCTCTTTGTTGCGTGCTACGACCGACCAACCTGTATTTGTCTTAGTGATGTTCTGGACATCGTTAGCACCTAGCGTAAGCTTCTCAAAAATGGCGGTTCGGATTTGGAAAGGTTTCTTCTCGAAGAAGCTAGATCCCTCTTTGAGGCGAAGCAAGATTCGGCGGTCTGCGTAGTTGCTGGCGGCAATGGGCTGCCTGCGGGCAGGAGCGATGTGCACATCGCCCGGGGCTTGACGCGAGGCCGCTTGAGTGACGTCTGCGAAGCTCACCGTTTTTGGGCGGGGCAACTGGTTGTCAGTTGGCGGCCTAGCCGCTGCTGGTTTATTTCTGACTGGTAAGTTCATCAGTGGAGATCCTGGCTGTAACCTGCAGTGTCTCCGGAGTGGAGGAACTGATTCCAGTGGTGAAGCAGGGACTTCGTGAAGTCGTTGGCGACGGCGTGGGCGTATCCGTGGTCGAATTTTCTTGCGCACGCGGCGATGGATTCCGCAAAAGTGCGTAGCACATCGGCTCGGGTTGTCATGCGTTCCTTCTCCTTGGCGATAATTTTGCGTGTCTCGAATTCTAGGTCTAGGGCATCGAGCGTGTCGACAACTTCGTCTTCGTCTTCGTCCGCGAGAATCCCGTAGTAATTGGCGTTAGGGTTGGCGTTTTTTCTGAGGTGCTGGCGTTGGCGGCCAGTCCTGGCGGCGCTTGTCGGGTGTCGCACTGGGCTGCTGCTAGGCAAAAAAGGGCGAGTTGTAACTGGAGCGGCGCCTCTCATGAGCTCTGTCTGAGCGTCGTGATGATGAGATCTTCGTCCAGGCCGAGATTGCCGGGGAGGAGCGATTCGGCATTGTCGATGACTGGATATGCTGGCGTGTTTTGTTGCGAGTAGTCGGTGTTTTGTGCATCTGATAGGACAGTGGCGGCGCTGGGGGATGCTGTGCCGTAAGAGAGACCTGGCGGGCTCTACCAGTGTAGATGTAGGAGGAAAGTTGCCTGTTTCTTAGAGAGTATTTTTGATTTTGATTTGATTTGATTATTTAACTGACTGATTATTTAACTGATTGATTGACTGATTGACTGACTGATTATTTAACGTCTATATGGTTGTAGCTCTAGGGTAAGCAAAGAGACGTGCTAGCTATGCCCTACGGATGATCGTGCCACCGTTCCGATTAGCGTGACGGGGCGCGCCCGGAGGCACGCCCACATTCTCACCAGGGGCTTATCACAACAGCTCCATGACCCGGTTCTCCTCCTATAGCAGCAGTTGCGCGCCAATCGAGACGGAACTGCTTCTTCTCAATTGGCAGTTTTTGCTGTGGGCGGCTTCCGTCAGCGGAGAGCTACCTGTGCTGTGTTACAGCTTTATTGTTGTGCCCCCGGGGCGTTAGCGCGTGTTGCCACGTAACAAAAGAAATGGATATACGAGTTTTACAAGCAGTTCGTGCTGCTTGGGCAATTTGTCAACTCTTAGTCGCCAGCTAAGAGCGCCTTCCGCTCCTTAATATCGCTTGTTGATCATCTCGAAATAGAAGCCCGCAAGCTTTACGTAGGTTTGGTAGGATCTACCCAGGTATCTCCGTATCGCAGCTACAGGCTCGGGGGTCAGCCGAGGCCTGCGGCTGCGGGGGATCTTCCTGCAGTAGAAAAGGTGAGTTGGAGACTTCCGGCGCCCACATGGGCAGTTGATCACGGCGTCCTCGTGCTTGAAGCGCTCGTGGTAGTCGGCGAAGTCTCCGTGGTGCGTCCTCGCGGCTAGGAGATATCCTAGCTGCCGCCGTTGAAGTGTCAGCTCGGGGAGCTTCTTCAGTTCAGCTTTCAGTTGGAGTCCGTGATAGCTTTCACGGTCGACTGCATCCCACCATCGCTAGAAGGCAGTGGGGAGTAAGTTTCGCATGTGGCGCTTGCAGTAGGAGACTGTCGGGAGGCTATCTCCTGCTGGCATTTTTGCCCCTTCCTTAGCGAGCTGGTCGGCCAGCTCGTTGCCTTCGATCCCGGTGTGTCCTGGGCACCATCGCACGCGAATCATACCTGGGTGGGCATCCCCTGTTTTCTGGAACTGGCGGAAAGCCATCTGCGACGATGGTGGTGCTGTCGTGCCTATGCAGTCGATTACGGAGGTATTGTCAATGCAGACTGTGATCCCTTCCGTTGGGCGCTGATGTGTGAGAGCAGCACGGAGACCTTCCACGGCGCCATTGATCTCTGCGTCAAACACTTCGCCCTTCCCGATCTGACCGCATCCTTGTGCGATGAGTTGTTGTTGCCGATAGACAGCATAGCCGAACCCTGCCTTGTCTTGTTCAGTTTTAGAGCCATCGCTATAGACGACTAGCCCGACCTGGGTTTTGCTCCATTTCCGAATTCTTTTCGCTTGGCGTTCCTTTGTCGGGCGACGTTCCTTGTCTTCTGTCCAGATAGCGCTGGAGAACCGTTTGGGAATTAGGCGCGGCCGCTCTACCGCTGGCGCCAGGGTGGCATTGCGGAAGAGCCTGATGCTTTTTATCGCCGTTCGTCTAGTCGTGGCCTCATCGGGATGTGTGGCATGCTGGATCTCATGCTCTTGCTGCATGATACGGTGGACAAGCGGATGGTTGACGTCAAGACGTGCCCAGCGGTTCGCATTTCGCATCGCAAGCTGCTCAAGGAGTACTTCTGCTGGCGGGATGCCAGCTTCCTTCCAAAGTGTAGTCTTCGGTGTTGTCTTCCACGAGGGTAGGATCATCCGGCAGGCCGCTGTTAGTGTTTTCTGGATTATCCCAAGATTGCCCTTCAACACTCGCTCCGAACCTGGATACCAGACGTCCACTCCGTAGAAAAGAGTTGGCATAACCACTGCTAACACGGCTTTTCTCGCTGCAGCGGCTGAGATGCCGCGGATGGTGTTGCTCATGCTTCGAAGGTGGTAGATGATGCTCTTAGCATTCTGTGCCCACTTCGTAATGTGAACCGTAAAGTTCAGGCGCGCGTCGAACCAGATGCCGAGCCATCGCAATGCTGGTTTTGGTAGGACCGTCCGATCTTGATGCTGGATGGGCGGTAGGTTGCTTCGCTTTTCGTTCGCAAAGTGAATCACCTTCTGTCTTCTTAACGTCGAAGGCGAAGCCTTCTCTCCTGCCCCATTCCTCCATCGCGGCAATTGCGGCATTCGCTTGGGTGGTAGTTTCGCCCAGCGTGTCTCCAACGAAGAGCATGGCGGTGTCATCGGCATAGCCATATCGTTGCGTAGCGCCAGGGAGCATGTAGAGTGCCGCTGTCGCTAGCAGATATAGGATCGGCGAGAGAGGGGAGCCTTGCGGGATGCCACAAAGGAGCTCCAGTGCTTCCGCGGTGGCGTCCTCAAAGCGGACGCTTGCTAGTCTGTGTGCGAGGAACATCGCAAGCCAGCGGATGAGGAAATCCGGCCAACCTTGCTTGCGTAGCTGTAGTATGAGCCTATTTCGCAGTATGGCGTCAAAAGCCCCTTCTACATCCATTGTCACTAGCGTGACGACTTTCTTCTGCTTCCTTCTCCGTCGTGCTTGCTCCACGTCATGTGTTAGCGCAGCAGCAATGTCAGTAGCACTCCGTTGGGGCAGAGCGCCCGCTTGGTTCGGGTGTAGTATCTTGTGCTTGATGGCTAGATAAGACATTCGTTTAGCAATAATGCGTTCCATGCCCTTGCCTAAGCAGGAGAGTAGAGAGATCGGTCGCCATGCCGATGGGTCCGTGAGGTCCCGTTAATCATGAGCTACTGGAAAAGGTCTTATGAAGGTGCCGGGTAAGTGCTATCGGAAGTAAATCTGGTTTTCGCTAGCGCTGCGGTGCTTCTCCTGGGTGGCTATTCGTTGATACTGCAAAGAGTCTTGTTTTTAAATAGTATATTACTGATGATTACCGCTGTAAAATACCTGCGTGCTCTTCTTTCGCAGTCGAAGCGATATGTTAAGACAGCAGCGTACCAGTCAGCTACGGTTCGGAACAAAGGGAGCACCTTTGAACGCAGGTTATAAATAGGTTTACGCGTCCTGCAGCTTTACTCCTGTATTGCGGCGGCCGCCGTCTGCCCATAATATACAACACAACAATAGCATGACGATTGTACAACCGCTATTGATTAGGAGATATGTGATCTTGTCTACATGAGCCATTCATATTGCTGTGAGTCTATTAGTGATAGATCGCTTTTCTTAGAGAGTAAGTCAGGCTGATGCTACCCCTAGGGTAGCACGTTGAGCAGTATCGTAGGCGTTCGTGAAGAGTAGAACTCTCAATAATGAGACTATTGCTTAGATTGATCAATAGAGATCTAAACTATCTTGGCTAGCTGTGGTCTTCCTTCTTCTTATATAGTAGTTTACCTCGCTATTGTATTTCCTGGATCACTGGCTCTTTCGCTCCAGTGATCCCTTCATGGCTCACTGGCTCACTTGCTCCAGTGATCCAGTGAGGTCACGTGACCACAAGGCTCAACTGGGGAGTCTGCAGGCATCATGGGGTCGTCCTCTTGGGCCGCTTCCCTGGCCGCCTTGCGTCACTTCTCGACGTTCGTAACAGCCTCCCACAGAAACGCCTCTAAACTAGTGTATGTGTAAAAGACTAAAAGGCAGTTGATCGACCGAAAGGAAGTTGTTTATTCATTTTACTACCGGAATCCCAACCAACGGACGACGCAGACCTATCTGTCATTCTCTCGGCAGGCGACGCCTCTACACTTTTCAAGACAAAGTTCCACAGGTATTACATGCGGCCATGTTTGTCTCAATCCTGCGTAGGATCTTTGCTGGGTTCCCAGTAGCAATATGGAATTCCGGGACGTCTCTAGTAACCACGCTTCCAGCGCTGATCGTGCACCCGCGGCCGACTGTCGCGCCTCCGATGATGACAACATTGGCTCCAATCCAGCAGTCCTCTCCCACAGTAATGGGCTTCTCGTACCACGGGCCCAAATCACCATTCCGGATGAGAGGGTCCAGGTGATGGCTTCGACAGTAGAAGCCGCAGTTTGGTCCAACCAGCGATCGCGCTCCGATGATATCGAGAACTGTGTCGTGGAATGTCGCGTTCGAGTTTAAGAAAGTCAACTCGCCCAACCGAATATTAAATCCCATCTCTGCCCTCACTGGCGCTATCACCCATGGCTCACGCTCCAGTAGCACCTCGTCCTCAGCTTCTGTTGCCGCTCGCGTGGGCAGGATGGTCTTATCTAGCGTGAGCCTACTCCCGTTAGAAATTAGAATCGGAAATGCGGCGGCTCTAACTTTTCAGATGTTCGGTTAACTCACTTCTTCCAAAGCTCTACCTGATTACGCCGGGAATAGTCTCTGGAATCGTTGAATGTGTTGCACGCAACTGCGCATCTGGCTCTGGCCGCCACCAGCTCTGGTGCATTCCCGTTGTAGCCATGCCCCTGCTGTGCGCTTCTCCACTCTACAGACTCCTCGAGTTTTTTTACAATCAGACATGATTGTGCTAGACATTTCTGCTTGCAATTTCATGTTTTGATGGAATAGTGCGCCGCAGGCTGAAATAGATTCAGCCTCGATGGTGGCACCCGCCTGGTCCCACTACAATACTCGGAGTAGTGGGGAAGCATGCCTCGAAACCCGCGGGTTAGAAGTGTGGGGCTGAAGCTAGTTGACTGCGCAGCACAGTAAATGCAGCCTTAGGATAAGCTTAGTGCGGGTTCTGCTTGAGAGTCTTTCTATGCGTCGGATTCAACGTCAGACCTTTTGATTTTCTTTATCCCTCTCCGCCCTCTATAAATTGCTATTATCCCTATTCACAGAATACAGA